TTGGCTGTTGTCGCGTGCCGTCTTCTGCGGATAAACAGCCCCGTGTAGCCCTTACAGGGACTCTTCTCAAGTGTGGAAAGTCATCTTTCTGGGGTTTGGGGTCTTTGTTTTGATTTTTGGTTCTTTGTGGTTGGGCTCAATGATCTTGAAGGTCTTTTCCAAGCATAACGATTCCGTGATTCTTTTGTATGCGCAATAAAGAATGCACTGGGGTGGGTCTCTCAGGGAAGTGAATGGAAACACTGTTTTGGGGATTCCGTTGTACTTATTTTCCTACATTAACTCTTCAAGAATCTGAGCTACCCAAGCTGGAAACCAGATGCTATTATATTTACTAGACTGTCCCGAAGAGCTATAGTTATCAATTTAAACTGTTTTGACTGCTTGATTTGTGAGGAAACAACAATCTTACAAGAATACTGATTATTGCAGCCTTGTCCAGGCAGTAGTGATGTTGCTGCTGTTCTCTCGGGTGACATTCTGACCGTCAGTGAGCTCGTGAAGGCTGTATGAGAGACTAGGCAAAAACAGCAAGGAATTCCCATAAAAGCCTGTGCAGCCCTGGCCATAGAGCCTGCAGGCACATCAGCGCTACCTGTATGTGTACCCTAGTCAAAGAAGGTGCTTTCTCCCAGGCAAACTGGTGAAACTTGTAAAAAGTCAAACAAGTCCAAGGGTTTGTGCAGAGCAGACTAGAAACAGACTGACTAGCACTTGCTTTCTCATCAGAGAATAAAGAGCATGAACAAAAAACGTGCTGCTCAACAGGGCAACACACGTGATCAGGAACAGATGCCAACTCTGCAGTGAAACTTTATTAGGTCTACAATTTAGACCTTGGAAAGCTAAATTGAGGCAGTCTGGCAGGGCTCTAAGCCAACCCCCAGGCACGTAATTTAGGTAGGAGGCAGCTCTGTTCGGTCACGTAGTTCAGCTGAAACAGCTCTCAGGCTTCCATCAGCACTTTCCTCTCCAGTTTGATACATCTTTTTCTTCAAAGAGAAACACAAGCTTAAAGGTGGGGGCAACTACAGCTAAATAAAACCAAGTGCTGTTGGCATGTTCTTGCTGGCGTTTGTTAGCTGCTGGGCAGCATGGTGAGAGTGGAATTGCTTCAATACACTTTCCTCTCATATCTCCACTGTGATCTGTATAAAGTCTTGTAGGTTGAAGAAGGATTTTTAAATATTACAGGACATGTAAACTATACTGTTTGGTCTGAATGTGGCATTTTGTAGTCTGCTGTGTATGATTGTGTTCCTGCATTTTGTCTCTTGTGCTGTGAATAAACCGTATCTGGTCTGTATGTAATAAATGGGTAAACATCAAGTGCCAGTGTGTTTTGCTGCTGTAAATGAAACTTCTGCTTAGTCTGTGGCAACAGCGGAGCTGTTAGAAGGATGGGTAGCTCAGATGTTCACCTTTTATCAACCTGCTGGCCGAAGAGATGCGTGTTGCTCACTGACTCAGACCACAAAGGGCTGGTCCTGCAGGGTGCGAGTGCTTGAGGACTGTACGATCCAGCATCTCCTAAATAACATGTGGAAAGGATAACCCATTCACCTCCTGTGCAACAACACCTTCATTACGAAACTGTTGCCAGAGCAGATACTAAGGCCCCTGTCGAAGACTTAACACATCAGTGGCAGCTTTCAGAGCAGCTGCCCTGTCAGTTACAGGGCAGTACCTGACAGTCTGCTAAAGTCCTGGCGCTCATTACTCTTGCCTCTAAAAGCCTGGGTTCTTTGTGCTTTTGTTCCTTTTAGTCCCACGGGTAGAATTGTAGAATTTAATGAATTCGCAGAATGCATGTAGCAATAATGAGAGGCAAGAAAATAGCAAAGTAGTTGAAAACTGTACAAGGCTATAAATATTGCCTGTGCCAATTACCAGCTGTTAGTCATTAAAATAAATTACATCAAGTAGGTTCCTTTACAATTACTTTCCTAAATTATTTTAATGTCTTGACAAACTGTGGCTGTTTGCTCATTAGCTGCATTGCCAGCACATCTCTAGGGTACTGAGGTAAAACTGCAACTAGCAGCACAATTCAGCATCAGTAAAATGCCATTTTGTGCAGGGACTCTGCAAACAGGGCACTTACTTCGCATGTCTTTCAACACACTGCTCTGCCAGCAGTGCCCTGAATGCACCCGCTCATCAGCTACCACCCCCTCTGCAGCCCTGTGGAAAATAACCAGTGGAAGAGATAACAGAACTGTCCAAAGTTTATTGTAAAAAAAGCAAACGTGACTGTTAGGGAAGCAAGGGGAATCTCTAACATAGTTGGAGCTGTAAATCTCTTGGCAGGGCCCTGGGGCAGAAGTCCTGGCTGCCAGAGGCTGCAGGGCTCCTGCAATAGCCAAAGAAAATTGGCCTGGTGAAAACTGGCACCAGAAGAAGACGGTCAGTTCCGAGCCCTGCCTGTCCTTGGGAGCTGTCCCTGTGCCCATGGGCAGTACACTCACATAGGAGAGGCTCTGTGCCCTCTTCCACCTCTCCCAGCACGTGAATGTGTTTGGGTCCAGGATTTTTAAGTTGATTTTCTTCAGAAGACTTCTCCAGCGTTTTTAGTTTGGAGAGAATGCACAGCAGAGACCACGCTGTCACTTTTACACATGAGCTACTGGAGGTAATCATTAATGTCTTCTTTCAAATAACCAGTTAAACATTGTTAAAAACCCGGGATTTTAACACACAAGCTTGACATTCTAGTGAGAATGTAACATGCAGTACGTTCGGGGTACGGGACCCAGCTACGGACTAGAGATCTGTGGTTTTCCAGAAATGATTCCTGAAAGGCAATCTCTACAATCAAACAAGAAAGATCTCCCATGATCTCGCAGCCTGCACTGTGCAGGACAGAGGTCTGAATAGTCCTATTAATTTATTCTGAGCCCAAAACCTGGAATCCTTTCCCACCTCCCTCTTCCCCTCTGCTCTCCTAGTTTGCATGATGCTGCTGTTTCATTAGTCCATCAGTCACGTTACAACAGTCAGATTGATTGTACCGAGTGAGGAGAGAGTCCACGCAGCCTGGCCGTAGAGACCTATGGAAAAACAGAGCGTGCCTAGACAAGCCACCTCCCCACTCCAAACATGCAGAGCCCAGGGATTCTTTGAGTTGGAGGCAGCGTTTGTGCGTTTAACAGCATTTAGTGGATTTTCCTTTCATGGATTCCCGAAATCACTCCTGCAGCCAGGTGAAGAGGCACCAGGCCTCACACACCCCGCAGAGCTCCCACCGCAGCCTTCCACCAAGGGGAAGGAAAGACAGGAGTTCTTCCTATCCTTCATTCCCTATCTTGGAAACAGTTTGTTTCCTTTTAACCCATGGAGGACCTCCCTCCTTTCCCTGTAGCGGCTTAACTCTAAAATTTGGTGAGAAACCACCTCCTTTAGTGAGGAGCCTTGCGAAAATACACATAGATGCTGCTGATCGCATGACTCCTCCTCAGTGATCAGAGCACCTCTGCTAGCAGTTAGCAGCACAGTTTTGCTTTCCTTCAGTAAATCACCTTGAGCGACTTGGGATTTTAGGATGCTACAGAAAACAGAACAACAATACTAATTACTTACTACAGTGGACAAGAAAAAGGCATAGCTACTATTGCAGGGAGCTGAACTGCAAAGTTAAAAGCACAGAACAGCTCCCAAGACCCCTCCACCCACATCCAAAACAGAACCCCCCAACAGAATGTGATGCTGCAGCAGAATCCACAGCCAGCCCAGCGGGCTGAAATGAAATGGATAGAAATGCATCGTGGCTGGGTGGGGAAGACCTGCTTCCCTCAGGCTGCTCTTATTGCTCCGAGATCCGGCGCTCAGCTGTAGATCCAGTGCTCAGCCGCATCCTCCCAGCAAATCAGCTCCTCCGGGCGGAACCAGAGCATGATCTCCTGCCTGGCGCTCTCAACTGAGTCACTGCCGTGGATCACGTTTCTGTGGGAAGAGGAAAGGAATCAGTCTGCGCTAGGCAGAGAAAAGGGGGAAGGAATCTGCAGCTAGGAAAAATTCATCCTTAAGTAATTCAAGCTTTCCCTTCAGGTTTCACCCCCTTCCCTCTGTCAAAGAGGGTACTGTGAAGTAGCTTTGGACCCCAGACACCGAGGAACAGAAGCTTGAGCCCAGAAAGGATTTGGATAAAAGCTTTGCCTACCACCAGCCAGGCTCAGTTACAGCCACCAGAGGTCCCTGGTGAAACCTCTTGGGTCTCCTCTGCACAAGTCCTGCTTGATTTTCAATGCTGGCTTGGTTTTACACGCTGCAGATGCTGCAGAGCTCTGCAAAGCAGCTCTCCCAGTGCCCGGCTCCTGCCGGATAGCACCCTCCCTTCCCTTCCTCCCTACAGCCTGAGAGAGCCCGATTCCCTGGGGCACAAGTCAAGTGAAAACTTCCTACCAGACAGATAGAAATAGTAGATTAGGCAGAAAAGGCCTCAGAAAGCAAGGAAGGCTCAAACCTAGGCTCATTCCAAGCTCAGGAGGCAGAGCAAACCACAGGAAAGCCCCTGTTAGGATTCTCCTGGGTGAGCCTTGTGCCACAAAGCGTGGCCAGGTGCTCGCTGAGCCGCTCGGGAACACAGAGCCAAGGCTCTCACTTGGTGACGTCAGTGCAGAAGTCTCCCCGGATGGTGCCGGGTCTGGAGTCGGCCGGGTTAGTCTCCCCGATCATCGTGCGGACTGTCTTGACCACGTCCAGGCCCTGCCAGACCTACAGGAGAGCAAACCTGGAGTCAGCCCCTAGAGCCCAGCTCATATCCTCCATATCCCCTATGTGTCCCAAAACAGGGGATGGCAGGGAAGAATCGCTCCAAAAAGCCACCAAAAAGAGGCCATTCTGAGAACTAAACAAAATCGGGGGTGGACATAGCTCACTGCAGTGAAACGCGCCCTCCGCAGGCCCTGCAGAGGAGCCTCCGTGTTGCCCACGGGCCGCATCCCGGCGCTGTCCCCGCTCCCAGGGGACACTCACCATGGCCACGACGGGCCCCGAGCTCATGTACTTGAGCAGCTGCTGGTAGAAGGGCCGCTCGCGCAGGGCTCCCCAGTGCTCGCGCAGCAGCTCCTCGGAGGCCTGCGCGGGGCAAGAGCGCCGCGGTCAGCGCGGCCCGGGGGTCCCGGGCGAGCCCCGCGGCCGCCACCTCACCTGCCCCAGCTTCATCCCCACCAGCGTGA